TGTTGTTGTTGTTGTTGTTGTTGTTGTTGTTGTTGTTGTTGTTGTTTTTGTTGTTGCTTGTGCATTCAGGCTGTCATTTTAGTCCTGCGTAGTATTTGCATTATTTTAGGATGCATAGGCCCTTTGCATGCCTCTTCCTTCGGATTGCTGATGATGGCGGTTGGCAGCGTTTCAATTCGTACCGTTAAAAACATCAGATGCCTCAAAGTCAGGTATCCGAATACCCTGAATTTTGAGGGAGACGCAGTGTGGTGCCTGGGATAGCTTTGGCAAACACGGTCAAGGAATGCTGCGAATGGAGCTCAACAAGAAGGCCGTGTTCTTGTCTATTGGAAACCTAGTTCGCTGGGGGTCTCTGACATGACGAACCAGCTTGGGAAGGTGCAAGATTTCCTGAGCTCTTAAACATGCTTCGACTGGATGGCCCAATGCCATTCAATTGTCAATGCAACTGCTGTGTTGCTATGCCTCTTTTTCACCTCTGGGTCTGCAAAGATTTTGTGTGTGGACTGGACTTGTGTAAGTACCCAGTTGCGAGTTCGGTTCCGAATTGAATCCACCTAAAGGTAGAAAACACAACGAAATAGAAAGAATTTTCTTATAGTCAAGCTTTCACATTCAAGTCATTCGCAGCTCTTTAAAGAACTCGTTGTTATTCCCATGTCGGAGTAGTTTGGCGCCCCAGCGTTACAAGCTCAAGGAGTTTAGTTGTTCCATCTAAACATGATACCTAAAGCCTCCTAAAAGCTGGTGTTTCTTTCTACTTTGGCACTTTCTTTCTTTAGACCTTTGGAATCCTTTAGACCTGTCTTTACAAACTGAAAAAATGGGATGTAAAAACGAAGCTCAGCTGGCCTTCATCGTGAAAATGCTGTGCGATCGGCTGCTGCGCGCATTCACACGAGTCTCAGCGACCCGTCGCTTTTCCTGGGCGAGGTGCCACTCTTGGGCGAAGCAACGAGGAGCGATCGAACGCTACGTTCGGGGCGCTCCTGGCCCTAAATACTAGGAGCAAAGGACGCTACGAACGGAGCAAAGGGCATCGCTACGGATCTAGCAAGAAGCTTCAATAGAATCCTAACAGCATGATAGCCATGGGCTCCAACCCTGAAGAAGTCTCCAAGCACAGAAGAAAGGGAGACTTCTTAGTAGTAGCATCCTTGCTCCTAGTAGTAAGGCCAGGGGCCCCTAGTAGCGTCCTGGAAGAATCTTCGAAGAGTCCGAGTTCGATCAAAAGAAGAAGTGAAACAAATCGAAGCATTCTGGCAGAAATGGTGAGGCGCAGGGTCGTCTAAACTTGCAGAGCATTTCATGTTTAAAACACCTGGATCAGAGAGTCCATCGGTGTCCAGATTGAAAGCATTCATCTCCAAAGAAATAGGATTCTTGTTACCTCTAGTAAAGGGCAGTGAAATGCAACACAAAATGGCCTAGACGCCTGCGTTTTTGAGTGCAAGCTTGCAGGTTCCGCAATCTCTTTAAGCTCCGCTTTTTGAGGAAGCCCGTACCGTGGCACCAGAGATGGCGCGACCAGAGTTCATTGGCGCTGATGATTGGCCATAATAGGCCGCCCCCACCCCCCCCATGCTGCGAAAACCGCTTCTTTCGTTCATTCGCACCGTTCGTTCGCCATGAGAAAGTCATGTCCAGTCTCGCCCGAGCACCCAGACTTGTGCTCTGCGGACCACCTCGAGGATGTCATCCATGGAATGAACAGGAACCTGAAAGAAAAAGACCAAAGAAGACGCCAACACCCTAAACAGTCAATGCTTATCATGCTTTCCTAAGCAAAACTGTTCGAAGAAGCGCCAGAGGCCCTTACATGAGTAGCAAAATGACTTAAGAAATATCTGCATTGCAGACCTGTAATTGGCAAGGTCAAGCTTGGTGAACAGCTTCAGATTCAACTCAGGTTCCCACTTCTGATAGGCCTTGGCAACACACTCCTCGGCCACCTCCGATATCCTGCAGTTCGAAGCCCCGGAGACAACCCCAACTGCGTCTTCCGGGGCTGAACCAGGCAATAGCAGCCAGTGTGTTTGTATTGGCAGCGGTATTGTGTGCGACCAAAGGGGCTGCCACACAGCCTGTGGCATGACAACCTGTGAATTCCTTGTCTCCTGTGGTCCTCTTTCATGTACAAAACCGTCCCAACTCGTCGTCCAAAGCGTTTTGTTCGGATCCCTTCCGCCTTCAAATCCAACTTCTGATGCCGATCTGTTGGAGCGAGGAGGTCACTCAGCTCCTCGACTCCAAGAGTTTGGTTCCAAGCACATCAACCAGGTTCCAAGAAAAATCGAGTTCTAACGTGTTTTCTCTTTCTCTGAAGTCCGGAGGTCTACGTTCGACGAAATCACCTCATTGTAAATCTCCAGATAGGATACCGTGACAGAGCTGTCAGTGAATTCTGAGGTGGCCTGAATGCGACGCTGGGCAACCGAGCGACTCGTCAAGAAAAACAAAACAAATTTATGTTTTGAGACGTTCTCAGTGTCTTGAAAAAGCATCCCAGTGCTAGGAGCAAAGGTAATGAAAGGAACGAGTTCAAACTCTCAAGTTGAGGCAACGAATGCATTCACGAGGAAAAAACGCTATTATATAGATTGGAGGCCATTTATCGCTATTAGGTTGGAGGCCATTGCTAGGCCCTTGCTATTGGGGTTCTTCATTGCTATTCACCGTTGAGGCAACGAAACCGTCTCAAGTGCCCCAACCAAGGCTTCCAAAACGGCTGCTGCTGTGCGAGGCACCAAGCCGCGGCCTGCAGTTGACTGCAGTCGAAATCAACAGTCGAACACACGTGCTCTGTTCGTAGCGTCCTTTGCTCCTAGTAGTAAGGCCAGGAGCCCCTAGTAGCGTCCTTTCCTCCTAGTAGTAAGGCCAGGAGCCCCTAGTAGCGTCCTTGCTCCTGGTAGTAAGGCCAGGAGCCCCTAGTAGTGTCCTTGCTCCTAGTAGTAAGGCCAGGAGCCCCTAGTAGCGTCCTTGCTCCTAGTAGTAAGGCCAGGAGCCCCTAGTAGCGTCCTTGCTCCTAGTAGTAACTTGCTCCTAGTAGTAAGGTGAGGAGCCCCTAGTAGTGTCCTTGCTCCTAGCTAGTAGTGTCCTTGCTCCTAGTAGTAAGGCCAGGAGCCCCTAGTAGCGTCCTTGCTCCTAGTAGTAAGGCCAGGAGCCCCTAGTAGCGTCCTTGCTCCTAGTAGTAAGGCCAGGAGCCCCTAGTAGTGTCCTTGCTCCTAGTAGTAAGGCCAGGAGCCCCTAGTAGTGTCCTTGCTCCTAGTAGTAAGGCCAGGAGCCCCTAGTGGTGTCCTTGCTCCTAGTAGTAAGGCCAGGAGCCCCTAGTAGCGTCCTTGCTCCTAGTAGTAAGGCCAGGAGCCCCTAGTAGTGTCCTTGCTCCTAGTAGCGATGCCCTCCGTTCCTAGTAGCGGCCTTGCTCCTAGAAGGAAAGGAAGAGAGATGAAGAGAAGAATAATTGAAAAAGAAAGGAAGATGGTCTCCCCTTACCTTCCTCTCTTTCCTCCAATCCATTCTTGTCTTCCAAAGTACGACGCAGCTGAGACCATGTGTGTTTTGTCGAGAGATAACACTTTTCCCACTCTGTCCTTCGGCAGAATCAAGTTGGCCCTCCATCCTGGCAAAAAGCCAAGCAAGGCTGCAAATCGTGAGAAGGATTATATTGCTTTTATGTTGGTTGTCTTTAATTGCTTTCATTGTTCTTCTTTATCCCTCTTTTTTAGTCCACTCCTACTCAATTAAGTAGGCACCTCATCAATCAAGCAAAGCGGCTAGTTCGCTAGTTCGGCTAAGTTAACTCCTACCTACTGGACGCAGGAGGACGCTCATGCTTCTTCAAGGAAGCTCCAGGCGCAGGGAGCTTCCTTGAAGAAGCGCTCGCACTGATTTCGTTCCTAGATGTTTTAGAGAAACCGAAGCAAACTAACTATACGAGACCGGCCAAAGTGAGCGAGTCAAACGTGTCAAGCTTACGTGTACCTCATCAATTCGCTGCTTTAACTTCCGAACGACGTGCATTGCGCTTTGTGAGACAAGTCCCGAGTTCCAAGCGTTTTGCCAGTACCAGTCTGTCCATACGCAAAGGCAGTGGTCTCGTAGCCAGCTAAAACCTTGGACGGACCGAACCCTCGCTTCCTCTTCGTCTTGGTCGCTCCGTCTTGTCTTCACTGTGTCTTAGTTTCAACCAAGGGCGCTGCTTGCCCCACTAGTGGTTGCAGGGTTGCTCGAAAGACATCTTCTTGCGAGCTGAAGGAAGTGAGCACATCGTCGAAGTGAAAAGTGGATCTTACCTTGGAAGTGAGCACATCTTACCTTCATCATTCTCATAATGGAGCGAAGAACAGTGAGCACGTTCGTTTCTCATATTTCCTAGATTGGGTTGGAGGCCATCGCTAGTAGGTTGGAGGCCATTGCTATTAGACCTATTTTGTCCTTTTTCTTTTTTCCATTCTGCATGTACATTCATCAAGTCCAACCCGCCTGGCGAGTACCACCAGCTAAGATTCGTACCTTCGCAGACTGAAATGGAACATCCTTTGAATGAATATTGCAAGAAACCTCCATAAGAAATGGTCATAGACTACACGGAAAAAGGATGAAAAAGTACGAAATTGCTTTGGTTGGCAAGGCTTGTCTCTGACGGCTCACCACAGCAACTTCTTTGCGCTCGGTTGAAGCTGTGGCTGCTGGCGTGGCACCTGCCTGGCTTTGACGCTCGGGCCAGCCATACATGGAATGTCATGAAATCCAAAAAGGGCCTCCAACCTAATAGCAATGGCATCAACCAACTAACGATGGCCTCCAACCTAGTAGCGATGGCCTCCAACCAACCAGCAATGGCCCCCAACCTACTAGCGATGGCCTCCACCTACTAGCGATGGCCTCCAACCGACAAGCATGGAATGTCCTGAAATCCAAAAGAGCAATACTGTGAATGCTTTGCTATCTCACCTTCTTCTCGCGCTCGTTCATTGGACGAATGCGGCACACGACACGAACATTGGCCGTGGGTATCTGCACAAATGCGGTGAAGCACTTGCCACAAAGCATGACAAAAGACAAAGATGCTTATAAAGAAAGGAACGGGAAAGGAAGAAAGGTCCAAAGAAAGAACATAATGATAAAGAAAAATGCTTTACGAAACAGCGAACCGAACCCTATGATCAAATTGACCAACCCCGCAGGCTGCCGAAACCCGAATCCCCACCTCAGGACCACTGGCTCCAGTAGGTGTCGCAGGGCGGCTGCGGGTGTGCCTTCCCACAATGAGTATAAACAGTGTTGATACGTGCGTTTCTTGTGCAAGACGTCTTCTTAGTGCTCAAAATCAATCACTGCTCTTGTGAAAATAATTCAACATATAAAATGTGTCTTTAGCCACCTCCGCATGGGTACTACAACCGGTTCGATTGTGCAACGGCCCGAATGGCCCTATTCGAACACATAAAAGGTTCAAAACAAAAGGAGAACACGTTTTCTCCCAACTGAGCTGGCCTGAGGCACGCGCTTCCGCGCTCAGGATATGAATCAGGCTCGTACATGTTTCAGACGAGACAGAAACCTTTAACTTGAACCAAGCTGAACCAGCAGGGACACCAAAATCCACGTGCTGTCTGACTGCACCACACAAAACAAACGTGCTGATGCCTTAAGAATGGTAGTCCTGGACAAGCTCATCTAGTTAGGACCATTTCAGACCTATCAAGGGTTCAGAAATGTCTCACTTTAACTACAAAAGGTTTGAACAGCATTGTGCTTTTCTCATGCACAAAAAGGCGCAGACCTGCACTGAAAATGTCGAAGATTCTCCGGAATAAAACAAGAGTTTGCATTCTTGAATGCTTCCCCACCGGACCAACCAATTAAAATCAATAAATCCGTGGCCTGGCTGGTTCAATTCATGGATGAGATGAATTGCAAACGCATTTTACGTCATTGGCTTTCACACCAATATGCGTCACGAGGTCTAGTTTCCAAACAGTTCCCATACAAAATCCAGCAGGTAGCCAAACAAACAGCGCCAGCAACACACTTAAGTTGGTCCGGTGGAGGCCATTTGCTACTAGGTTGGAGGCCATTTGCTATATAATAGG